GCCGGGCTCCCCCGCGCCGGCCCCGCCTGGGAGCCAGCAGTGCCCCTCGCGTCAGCCGCTCTCCCAGCCTGCCGGTGGCCGTGAAGTTAGGAAGGTGATACAAAGGGAGGCAGAATGGAGAGAATTCAGCTTTCAGAGATTTCCCTGAAGCGGTTTGGGACTGCTACTCAATGCTCTTCTTAAGAGAAGATAACCTATGCTAGCAGTTGAACCACCCTGTGTCTATGCAGTGTCAGATTTTGAAGGAGACGTGAAAAAGGAATGAGAAACTAGGTATGGAAAATACTAGAAAGAAACAAAGGTTTGGAAAAGCAGATAATTTCCCTTTTTAAAAATGGTCTCGTTAAAACACATGAAACATGACTGAAAAGGTATTGACTGCTCTCTGAAGATCGGTTTGCTCCAAAATAATTTAACTATGTCCAACATTTCAAATGTAGAAATTAAATTAAAATATCTGCATGTTGTTTTGTGGTTATCTTGCACATCATTATCCTAAACCCCTAGTGTTGATACTCTTTGGTAGGAATTTCATGGAGAAATGTCTCATTGCTGTGGTTATACTGATCGTTATAGCAATTTGGCCCATCTCTAAATGACAGCTTTCCTGCAATTCTCTTCAGGGTGAAGTCTAGCTATTTTAATAGGATTGTATGTAGCCCATAGTGTTACCAAGCTCCCCAAACCCTTTTAGTAGTTAGGACTTGCTATGAGTTGTAACTTATAGTTAGAACTTAAGTTCTGTAAGAACTTATAGAAGTCTTACCATCACCAGGGAAGAACAAGACATGTGCCAAAGGTCAACCGTATCCACCATATGAATGAGCAAGGATTATTTCTGCTTCACAGTAGAAGGTGACTTGAAGGTCAGACACCTTTGAAGCACTAATACAGCAGAGGTCAGTTACATGGGAAAAAAAGATGTTAGTCAATATAAGAGATGGTCAGAATCAGGGTGATCATGATACATGACTGGGTAAGCAACAGAAAGACAGACATCTAGAGCTGAAAAGCAGGGGAGCTAATTAATGGATTATAAAAATTTCAACTGGAGAAGAAAGGGGAAGATCAACTAAAAGAATGGCATTTTGACATATCTGTTGAGGTCCCTGATATCCTCAGAGGTGGGTGCATATATAAAAGCTCCTCCAGTAATGAGAATGGGACAAAATAGAAGGGTTGTTTTTTTTTTTTAATGCAACAGGAAGAGAATACATTTGGGCTTGGGTTGCCAGAGGTTTCTTCTATAAGAAGCATGGATAAGCTCGAATACACCAGGGGCAATCATGCCATTGGGAGCAACAATGGACACAATAGCTTGGAAGTACCAGGTTCGATAGACCGTTCTCCAGATGATATTCACCACTTTTGCTCCATAAGGCTCAAAAACAGTGTTTCAAGGCTCAGTAATGGCATGTGGCATACTGACTAAAGTATTTTCCTACAGGACTGCTCAGGGTCATGGGACCATTGGTCATTTAGGAAAAGCTGCATTCGCAAGTGTGAAGCAATCTCTGAAGTCACTGGATAAGCAGAACGTGTATTAATAAGACGTGTATGACACTAGTACTTATTCTCTCACTTCCTTTCTGTTTTAGAAATGAGCTAGATACAGCTTTTAAGGATTATAAAGATCGTACACAGATGTGAATTGCTTTCTGATTAAACTAGAACTGCATCAGAGCCAAGAAGAGCATGTTTGCATTTAGATCCAAATCTGAAAGCACAAGAGTGACCCAAGAGTGATCACAGTTGCAAAACTCAATCTGAAAGCTTAATGTTCAGAAGTGCAGTCAGAGGAGCAGAAAACTTAAGCTTCTGGGAAACTCAGATTTCTGAGGTTACATTTTCCACATTATCCTCACAATAAGGGCTCCATCCCTATTGGAGTCCTATAATATGGAAACAAACATCAGATTACATGTTTAGAATCTCCTGGCAATTCTAATACCAAATGTGCTATGATTGTTGATAACCTGCTTTGGAAGCACAGTGTTCAACAGGATTTTTTACTTTTCCAAAAGATTAACTTGCATGAAGGCTATAGCTGCTGTGTTGAGCTTCTTCTGGTAGCTGTGAACTTGGTATTAAGCCATGCAAGTAGAATGCAACAGCGCTCTCAGCTATGGCCTCAAGGAATTACCTACAAACCCACTATTTCTAGTTCGGCTTGGTGTGTCTAAATTAGGAGAACTGTTTCCAGTAGTCAGTCATCTCAGTCAATTTTCTGTTTCCTGTATTGGAGAAAGATCAAGAAGCTATTTTCGTATACATTATACATAAGAATTGTTTAGGTAGGAGCATCCATGTAGATTTCCTCAATTTTTAGTAGACTCACAGTGTGCATCTCAGATCATTGCAAATTTGCATTGTGAAGATTCTAAAGAGGCTCTAAAAATATAGCAAAAGTAACTACATTGATCTAAATGAAATTATTTTAGTTATTTCTGTTTTAGAAGTCAGATCTATTACTGAATCCTTGGCTTGCTTGCTCAACATTCACGCACATAAGCGAGAGGTTTTAGGCAAGTGAAGAGTCCCAGTGATGAAACAACATACAACCGTCACAGGGTTTAGGCACTAACTTTTCCACTTCAGCCAGCTTAGTCAAAGAAACAAGCTCTGTCAGATGTCTAGTAAGGGAAAGCTATTTACTCCACTCTTCTATAGATTGGTAAACTTAATTTAAATGCTAAATCAAGCCCAAGAACTGCAGCAAATATATCAGAGGATTAGTTGTTTCTTTCTGGAAAGGATCCCACGGTTTTCTATCCCTTGGTGAAATGTGGTAATTCTCATTTGAATGATAGTGGAACATCCAAGGGCTACATTTTGCAGAAAAAGTAACTGTGCTTTTACTTCTTAAGATTTAGTTGTGTTCCAGATGAAGCAGCACACTCTGCATGCCTGCGCTAAGTTTTACAATGGATCTGCTTTCCCACATCAGACAATTTGTTTTTCCCTTCCACAGCAGCTTGTCTCTCTCATTGCTCAAGTATTGCTTCATGCAAGAGCTGGGCACATTGAACTACGTATGCCAAAAGAACAAAACCAATCCAGTAAGAAAGGGAAACCCAATCCTGCAAGGATCAGCCATTATGCCCCCAAGAAGTCAAATATGATTACTTTCAAGGCCCGAGATAAAATAACAGGCTTTTCTCTCATGAAAGAGAATAAAAAACATTCAAATTTCCATAGTTTTCTTTATTTTCAGTACTCCAGAAACAGCAACCTATTCTTATTATCATGGTTCAACATTCCCCTGGAGAGAATGAATACACATTTAGCTTTAGGCATGGAAACTTTGAGCAGTGAAACCCAGAACCTTATGCTCACTTCAAGCCTGTGAAATTATTCATGTAAGTTTTCAAGATCAAGTCCAAAGAATGCAGTTAAAAATGGGTTACACCCTTTGCTTACCTTTTAAGCTATTCAGTACAGAAAATGACTTAAGCTGGTCAACGGCAGCTGCTTTTTATAACCAGCTTAACATACTGAATGCACTAATATAATGCTGTGTGCTTGACCCTCCAACTTCTACAACTGAATGGGCACATCCAAAGCTCTCCAAAGTTGCTATGAATCTTTCAGATGCAGTGTCCAAGCAAATACTGTCGGCTGGACCAGCTAGCCCTTGCGTATACACCTTCTTTCTGCTTACTAAGCCGCTGCCTTATTCTTGCAAGCAACCTCCACATTTTTTCAACACAGTCACAGTCTTCACATGTATTCTTTAAATTTTTTACTTTTTTTAATCCTTTGGATGCTTTTTCACAGTACCTGACCCCTACGAAGTGGAAGATTCCTAAGACAGGGGTGTTGTTTCCTGGTAGATAATTTTACACTTATTTTCAGCACATTATATGGTTATGAGAGTCTGGAGACTAGTTTATTCTCAGCCACTACTTTTCAGTTTCCAAGAGTAAAATCCAAAAGGATCCTCACGTAATGGATGCCCCCAAATTAACTACCTGAAGTAAACCTTCCACTGCAACATGCTGGGCACTTCCTTGCTTTCTGAAAACTTCCCTATTGCTAGGTAACTGTCAACCGTGCAGTACTATTTGCAACAGTTTCATTTTATGTAGTGGTATTCAGTCTCCCTTTTAGAGCTCTCTATAAGAGAATCAGCACACAAACTTCATTGTCCTCAACTTCAACCCGACTGCCCCAGCTGTGCCAGCAGAAATACTCAGTGCCTCTCTTACGAAGGCAGAGCCGTCTCTGGCTAGCACTGCCACCCCCCTCCCAGCTCCTGCCTCCTCCCGTGGTGACTGTTTATTGCTTGAGCATCTGTAGTGCTTTAGACCGAAGAGTTAAGTAACTTCACAGCCACTTGATCCAGTATTAAATGAGAACAGATCTGAGTGGATCAAACATACTGTCTTTGGAAAAACAAGGAACCCCTCTTCATCAGTTATACAAGCTTCCTCTATAAAAGGGGGAAACTAGGTAAAATATTTTTTGTGACAATTGCTTTACTGCTTTTTCCTGCAGTCCAACTAGCTTGACACATTTTACCTTAGGGATATTTACAAGTAGTCTGTTTCTATTTTCTTACTGCATGATCTAAACAAGCAATTTTAACAGCTACACAGGGCCAAATGGCAATACGCCTTTGGAGTGGTGGTGAGGGAATTTTGCCACAGTCCTACTGTGATTCAAGAAAGAGCGTGATATGAGATTTAAAAGATTATCTCTGTTTCTAGACTTCTGCTAACTTCCCGGTCCCTTCATTCTCCATAGTGTAGTACCTCTGTACTTTCCTCTTCTCTGAACTAGCTACTGCTTCCTGACAGAAGTTATACCTGCATGGCACTCCAACTTCCCCAGTAACAGG